AAAATCAATTTTGATTCTGTTTTTCAACAAAAGCTATACATAAAACTAATATTACACTTCATATCTTACCATTACTTATTACTCGATTGCTGGATTGTTGGCCACTCTAAGTGGTGACGTTCTAACAGATTATAGAACGAGATTGAACACACAATCTTTTGAGACGCTCATTTGCTTTCACGATAGGATGAAGGCCCAACATAGAACTCGTGAAGTTTGCATCGCCCCGACTGCCACTTCATGGATGAAACAACGATTGATGCTGATGAAAATTCCGAGGGATTTTTAGAAAATGCATTTAATGTTTTAAATTATTCTCAAATCTCAATTCTCGATCAATTGTACTTCATATTTCAAATAAATATACATTTAATTTTAAGGAAAATAGTTAAAATATTCCAAACATTGAAAGGTGTGAGATAAGTACCCCAAACTTGCACATATAATATATAGGGAAAACTGTCAAATAGGTCCTCGAACTTTCATAAAAAAATCAATTAAGTCCTTCTATAGGAGATTCTGTCCGGCCGTCGCGATTTGGGGCGATCCCCGGTGGAATATTATGATGAATTTTTTTGAGCATCTTATTCATCAAGTCTAGTTTACTCATTCCAAATTTCAGCTAAAAATTCAATTGGGAACGTATTCAAATTAATTCGAGAACGCACAAATGCGCAGTTATCTTCACGAATTAATTTGAATGTGTTTCCGATTGAATTTTTAGCTGACATTTGGTATGAGTAAACTAGACCTGATGAATAAGATGCTCAAAACATTTCATCAAAAAATTCCACCGAGAACCTCCCAAAATCGCGACGGCCGGATAGAACCTCCTATAGAAGGACTTAATTGACCTTTTTATGAAAGTTCGAGGACCTATTTGATAGTTTTCCCAATATATATACCACAAAATTTATATATAAAGTTATGTTAGAACATGATCATATCTTTTTCACAATTATAATTTTATGGTATTAAGTACATAATTTTAAATACACAAAACATTTATGAGGATATACAGAATTAAAATTGAACTTTAACATACTTCCTCCGTTTCACAATCTTTGACACACTTTCCTTTTTTGGCTGTTTCACAATCAATGACACACTTCCTTATTTTCTTATTTGGTAAACAATTCTTTACCAAAACAATGCAAAACAATGTCAAACAGTGTCAAACAGTGTTCAAACAGTGCCAAACAGTGTTCAAACAGTGCCAAACAATGTTCAATACAGTAAAATTTACCCCTCAATGACATTTTTTCCTTAATTCTTGACAAGTCAAACTGTTTCAAAGATTGTGAAACGAAGGGAGTATGTAATATTATTTATTTCACAAATGAAATTTTAGAATGTTAGCTGCATTCTAACAAAGCTTAAAAGTATTTTAAATTATGTAATTATTCTAATAAATTTGTATTTGTAAAAAAACATACAATTATGACACAAAAATAAGTTTTTATATATTGTTTGGGGTATATATATTACATATGCAAGTTTGAGGTACATATCTCACATAGGGGTGGACCGGTTCCGGTTCGGGCCCGGTTCGGGCCTGGGCCCAGCCGGGCCTCGATTCATGAAAGGGGAGGCCCGGAACCGGCCCGGGCCAGGTCGGGCCTCGGTTCTTGTATTTTTTTTTTTTGGCTTTTCCTAATTAACCCCCAACCCTCCCCCCTCACCCCCAAACCACCCCAAACCACCTCAAATGGCCCATCCCAAAAACTTAAAAAAAATCAAAAAAAAAAAAAAGAAAAAAAAATAAATTGGCCCGGACCGGGCCCGAACCGGCCGGGCCGGTTCACGATTTAGGAGGCCCGAATGCCCGAGCCCGAACCGCCTACCTCACCGGGCCGGGCGGCCCGAATCGGGCACCAACCGGTTCACCGGGCCGGTCCGGACCCGCACAGTAGCGGGCCGGTTCGGTTCCGAGCCAGTTGGCCCGACCCGAGTCCACTCCTAATCTCACACCCCATTAAAGTTTGAGGTATTTAAATTATTTTCCTCTTTAATTTTTAATAATTTAATGTCTACAATTTGTTGAATTAATTTAAAAAAAAATTACCTAAGAACGGGCCCGACTCGAGACTGGACCGAAGCCAAGTCGGGTAGCCCCGATCGGAACCGGTACAGCTACAAACCGAGCCGGTACCAGATCAAAGTTTTGCAGAGAAAAGCCCGCCAGGCCAAGCCCCAACCCGGCCCGAGTTGATGCCTAGTTCTGAGCTTCTAGATGAAGAAGATGAATAAGTTGATTCTGCTGATTTATGGAAAAATTATATTTAAAATACTATTTATTTATAAAATAAAGTAAAAATTATATGAAAAACAGTTAAAATTGTTTACTATTTTACTAAACGGACTATATGTTAGGGTCAAGATAATGGTAACGACGCAAAAAGAACCAAGGAAAATAAATTTTTGGCTTGTAGTGTTTGATCTTGGCTTGGGAGTTGGGGATATGAAGTAAATCAAGTTTGATGAGAACTTTTATTAAAATTAAATACGTTTTATTTTGTAAAACTATATACCCCCATGGAATGTCTTGGAACACATATCTAAATTGGGTTTATTGAATCTCAGCTTTGTTATACCTAGATTTTATTTCTTTTCAAAGTTCTTTATGTTTTATTTCTTGCATTTTACAGGCCCCAAACGAACCACTTAGGGTTAAATTATTATCAACAAATTCCACGAGAACATGTAAAAAAGGAGTGAATTTTGGGGCTGCACCAAGTGGGCAGTTGGTATGAATAGCATCTCTATCCGCTTTTTTTCTCTATCCGTATGCATGTAGTACATATATTAGTCAAAAAATACTAGCCCGTTACACTACATACTAAAATTGTCACCAATTTGTCCGTACCTAAATCACTATCGACACAACAAAAATGCAAGATTTTAAAGGTAAAGAGGTAGCAAAAGAAAAGCCCGAACTCAAGAATTAGAAGCTTTAATTAACTTGGCAATTCTCCTGTCATGGTTGAGAGTTGAACTGATACTTTCAACAACCAAAATAACCTGCCAGGTAAACCATAACAAAGAAGTTAAGTTTATGAGTACATCAAACTCACAAGGATAAAAAAAATGCATGGGACAATTGTTCAATTACAAGACGTTTCTATTAATTGGGACGCTAGGAGTTCGGTACTTTTACTTTGGTATTTCTACTTTACGTCTTTATGGCCTCCTAAATTCCAGGTGTTTAGAAAAAAACCAATACTTCTAATTGTGAAGATAAATCAGAATCAGAATTTGTGTTGTGGGACAATTGTTCAATTACAAGGTGTTTGTCTATTAATTGGGACGCTAGGAGTTTGTAAAAGAGACTCAAGGCTCAAGTATTTGGCATAAATGGTTGTTATGATGTGGTCCTGAATCAAAGAGTAACTAAGGCTCCGTTTGTCTACGGGAAAATAATTTGCTGCGGAAATGTTTTCCAGGAAAATACTTTGAAAGTGGGCAATCATTTCACACAAAAGTCCTAAGGATCTCTTTGAAACTTGGAAAATGCTTTGGAAAGAAAATATAGTTGATATCATAGGGAAAATTTTGAAAGAAAAGAAATGTGATGAAAAAACATTTGTTCAAACCTCAGGCTCGATAAATTTATATATTACTACGTATATTTGTTGAGGTCTTTTATATAAGCCTCAACTAAGACTCCATTTGGTAGCCAAAGACTCACTATTTTTTGCCTTAGGAATATAATAGAATAAAGCAAAATGGCTCACAAAACTGTTTGCGCTTCTTTGTTATGAAACATCAGTCAGTCCATGCAATTTTTGACACGATTTTCATCGTGGCTCATCCTGAAACAGTCTCTTTGTGCTTTTAGTACAGAGGTAAGGTTGCATACATCCGACTCTCTTACCTCATCGTAGGTGGGGGAGCCTTTGTGGCACTAGGGTAATGTTGTTGTTAATCTGTTGAAGTCTTTTATATATATACCCACTTCATCTAAAAAATCTAAATATGTGTAAGGATATTAAAAACATTAATTAATTGAATCTCATTTACCTTTGTATTTTCCATGGTAAAACTAAATGCAAGAAAATAATTTTCCAAAACATTTATTTCTTTCCCTAATAATTTCTGAGATACAAACATACGATAAAGAATCAAGAAAAACTTTCAGGTGTCCAACACTGGAAATTAATTTATAGAACATTTTTCTTATACCGAACACAGGGAAATCACCAAAAAAATCTGAGAAAATAATTTCCTATAGAAAAAACAGAACCTAACAAAAGGTTTAAGCATAATCAATTTTCATAATCATTGGGTGAATTGATCATGTAACTAATCGGCTTCAAGATCACAACTCACTCCGAGTAATTCTGTCAAACATTTTAAAAGTTAGAATTGATTCTTGTAATTTATGTGAACAAGAGACATGGTGCAAACTAATAGATGCTTAGATGGGCAAGCCTAAAAGTAATCTCTACAAACATGATGTACTAGCATAGACTCAATGTCCTAGTCACTTGTTTATCATAAACCATATATAGTTCTCTTAACTTTAATATAGAAAACAAAAAAAAACCTCCCGTACCTTCCCCTCCAAAACTCTGCTACCAAATTTATCCTCAGAAAAAATGATTATGCTTGATAAACTCCCCATTCCCAGTATGATCAAATTAATGAACAGGTTACTATAGCAAACCTTAACAACCTATGATAAACCAAAGATATTGGTCCCTCAATTTATTGTAAGCTTAGGAACTAATTCAGAAATATAATCAAAGATTAAAGCATAGGGAAGGAAACCTGGAAGCAAGCATATGCCATAGCAGTTGCAAAATAGAAGTTTGCATTACCCGTGCCCTGCAAACATATTCCATGGTTAGCAAAATCCTAACTCATATTTCTTTTTCACTCAATCACTTAGTTTGCATCCCGGAAAATGCAAGGGAGATGGGGGAAAAGATAAGAAATGTTAGTTTTATCTCGGAAAATGTAAAGGAAAGCAACATATGATTAAAGTTTTTCAAGCAAAGCTTTGCATGTTGTTAAGTTTCTTAGTCTTTATATAATAGAAATATATACAAATAGATAATAAATAGGATGAGTTTGAACAAGAATAAAAAACAAATGTACTGATTTTGAACTAATCTTTTTTGCAGCCAGTTTCTTTTCTTCCAAGCTACAAACTCGCCCTACATCTTCTGAGTTCCAAACGTATCCTTGGGGAGGGAGTCATAATAGTATACTACTTACCCTCCATATCCACAGGTTATGCATCACGGGGCTTAAGAGGGAGACACCCACATATCCACAGAATAGGAAGAAAGAAAATGGCATTTCTGCATAATAATACGAAGATTATAAAAAAACAAATTCCATTTCTGTAAATATTACTGTGCACTAGATTGACCATGCCACTTACCTGATAATTCATTTACAAACAAAGCAAGCAAACCCAGATATAGGGCAGAGTCTCCAACCTATCCATCACGATTCACAAGTCAGACGGAATAAGTCTAAAGTTAAGCATATAGCAGACTAAGACTCCATTTGGTAGCCTAATATGGCTTATTTGGTTGAAATGGGTGTTACTGAACACTTTTCTTTCAGAAGATTGAGGTTTCCAATTCAGCCAAATGACTCCTACCAAACACACCCTAAATAACCAGTAAATTAGTAAACCAGCATCCTTATGGATATGTTTGGAACCGGAAAAAGACAAAGGGTGGGGGGATAAAGGAAGACATTTTTAATGTTTGATTTCACCTGTGAAAACAATGAAACTTAAATATGATCATTTTCAATTTTTGCATATATTTTTAGGCTTTATACAGGATAAAAATAATACTCCCACCATCCCGTTGGAAGGTTCCCATAGCAAAACGGCACGGTTATTTAGACATTAATTAAATAAAGTATTTCAAGTATATTTTGAGAAATAATTTTAATAGGTATATATTATAATGTAGTTAGTATTGATAACTGTGAGGTTATAAATGTATTATTTTTAATATTTAATGATTAATTTGTCACTTAAGATTGTTAATTGTTTCCTAAAATGGAAATGAGAACCTTCTAACGGGACGTCCAAAAAAGGAAAGTGGGAACCTTCTAATGGGACGGAGGGAGTAAATAATATAAACAAGTACCCAAAATAGACTATTGAGTTTTAACCTTTCTTTTGTTTCCCCCATATTTTATTTCATTCGCTTTTACCTTTATGCATTCATTCCTATTTTTTTCACTGGTATTTTCTGGGTTACAAATGGACCCTATATCAAGCGAGTATCTAATTTGTGCAAGATACTAGTATTTGGAGAGAACTGTACAGTTTCAGACAAAAAATAACTTACTGAAGGATAAGATTTAAGCATAGCACATATAGTCATGTAAACAAAAGCCAGAAAACATGGCCTGTGGTATAATCGTATTGCCAATGGCAGGATCATGAAGAGGATGTTCACATGAAAAACTATCAGAAAAAAGTTTCTGAAGAAATCAAACACTTCAGCAAAGAAATACCTGTTTCAAAGGTGGACAAAGAGGTCATTAAGAAAAAAATACTTATTGACACACTTCTTGAGATTTACTAATCATCAAAGTTTTAAAATACTAACCATAAGACACCTATATTTGGAGATAAATCTTTCATAGTTAGAATAAATCCGTAGGTCCTGCATGTGATTAGAGGTGACGAATCGTCAAGACTAAGGAACAAATCTAATTAAGCATCAAGATAAATGCAATAGATGCAACCCTTTCCATTTATAGTTGAAGAGTTTTATACTCCCTCCGTTCCTAAATAAACTTCCAACTTTCCTTTCTCGTCTGTTCCAATTAAATTTCCACTTTCCCTTTTTGGTAAAGAATTTGTGGTTCACAACATTTCTTACACATTTCTCTCTCCTCTGCACAACTCTCCACCACACAATACCCACTTTTCTTAAATTGTGTGCCAAAGTGAGTTGGAAGATAAAATAGAAACGGAGGTAGTAATATTTTATACTATCTCCGTCCCATTGGACTTTGCCAACGTTTCCTTTTTAGTTGTCCCAAAAAACTTTGCCACTTTCCTATTAAAGCAACTAATTTGTGGTTCTGCACATTTCTCTCCTCTGCACAAATCTCAACCACACAATTTTTACTTTTCTTATTTCTCACCTACTTGCACTTGGCAAAGTCCACCGGGACGGAGGTAGTACTACGGATAAGTTAAATATTATATTTACAGATTTTATTATAAGAGAGTACAAAAATATGAAAAGCTAGCTATGTACCTTTTAAACATCTCTTGAAGACCACCAAAATCTCTCATAAATATGCCAGACAAAACCAATAGATAAGCAATCCAGATGAAAGCCCAGGAAACAAAAACCACAACTGGTCGCCAAGAAAAAACTGTAACTTCTTTTATCTGATCCCTTAAGCTTGAGTGGTTGGTATTCCTTTGACTTGAGCTGATATCTTCATCTTTTGCTGAATGTAACTGCATGAACAACTTTTTTGGGGGTGCATCTGGACCATAGCCTAATAGAAGAATCACCTAGAAATGAAATGATTCACTGAAGTCATGAGAATCATGAACTAATGGGATCACAAACATATGATGGCTAATTGGAAAAAAAAAATCTATAAAACCTACTCATGATGTTTGAAAGAAAATCTTACTGGAACAATTAAAATTGAAGGATAAAGAGAGAAATGGGATGCTATGGTCCACCCAAAAGCTGCCAATGGTGCAAGACCTATGACAATGAGAAGAGGTTAATAAGTCGAAGATTTAGATTGTGTATAAAGAACGGCAGTCCAGTGCACATTGGCTTCCCCACAAGGCAATGGGGAGAGGGTCAAGGGAAGGGTCCCACGACTCCCACGCACACGGGTGTAAAAGGGGCGAGCATTCCCTTGTCATTTGAACAAGAGCCTGTAACTTCCGGCTCACACAATAACACCTTAACGGTTCACCAAGAACTCCTCTTCGCTGATTTAGATTGTGTTCATTTTCAAAAAAGTTATCTACTATGCTTGTCCACAATGACAATATAATATAGAAAAGTTAAATGTTGTACGCTCACATTTGTTAGCAATATAAAGCAAGATATTCAATAGGTGATAAAATATGGCAAATACTATTTTTAGATTTTTTACTCTTTTAAAACTACAAGACTCCTCTTATACTAAGAATATCATTCTTCTCCTGCTAGTGTATATTTGTTAAAGCTTATTTTGAAGCTTATATCTTGTTTTAAGCTCAGCTATCAGCCATGCATGATAAATAAAATAAGTAATTGTTTGAAGAAAACATGAATCTGTCTCTTAAAGTTTTTCAAAAATAAAATAAGCTTCCCTTGTGTCCTCTAATAGCCTTATTTGTTTCCGGTAATAGCATTTTTCTTGTATGTATTTTACGCAAATCAGCTACTCATGATACTCAACGATTAATTAATCTTACATTTTTAACATCAATTACAGCTTTCAGCTTTCAACTCCTCAATACTGAATGACTTATCAGCTTTAAGCTATCTTCCGGTTGCAACTATCTTTCAGCTTCTCATAAACAAGAGACACTAAAAAAGATAATAAAGCTACCACAAAAAATAAGCATTTGTGTTCCATGGAAGGGAATTGAAAACTGCTCACCCTTGCAAGCTCCGTATAGGGAAATGATTACAAACATATTCTCTATAGGGGTTGTATTGAAACCCAGGCACGTAACTATGGTGAAAGGGTTCCATAAGTACACCAGTGAAGCTATGTCTCCTGAAGGTAGAATACCTGAAAATAAAAGAGAATACTCAAATTGAGTAGAGAATATGACACTGAAATCGGAAAACGGAGGACTGTTTGGTTGGAACAAAGGGATAAAATAAGTAGCTACCAGAGTCTTCTAAGATCTTGCCCAGCCCTAACAATTTTAAGCTCTTTTCATAAGCCATCTGAAGACTCTGACCAGTAGCACGAATAAGCATGGCAGAGATAATATCTGCAATCACCGAAACCAAACTGTATCCAAAAATGTGTTGAAATAATCTATAGATCTTCATATATTCTCAAACATGAATTGGCAACCAACAAATACTGATCTGAACATATGGAGAGGCAGTGTTTCAATATATCCACATACTTTACTTAAAAAAACAAGATTTTTTTTGCAAATTAAAAAAACAAGATATGCTTTATAAAGACATTGTAAATTCATATTACTAACATTTGAAAGAATAAAAATCCAGTGGCACTAAAAGTTATTGTCTGTTTTTAGTTTTAGAGCTGACTGGACAATTCGACATACTACAAATAAGCTTTCATATTTTTGGCAAATTATGACCAAATTGAAACACAAATTAAATGGTTCTAGTATATTGCCTATGTGTACATGTGTACCCCCAAGTGTTAGTGCTTTTTATGCAATACAGAAAATGGAACAAAAGAAGACAGTGAAGAAGATACCTGCATAATTGATGGTAAGGGTGCCCATCGATTCTGAAAATTTTATTACAAGCATTGGAGTTAATCAGAAACGTGACAGTCATAATAACATGTTTAGCAATTAGAACTAGGTTAAATCTGGAGTGTTAACTTGTTTTTAGTAAGAGGGCCTAGCACTAAGAGCAACAATGGAGATCCGTGATACATAGAGCCAGAATAAGGCGACATTGAAGACTGCTTCAACCAGTAGCCCTCCGCCACTACACAAACAAAATCAAGTTTTAAACAAAAATGCATACAAAAACAAAAGACATCTAAGTTCAGGTGGAGGTGGGAGACTTACGGCGGCGGAGGCTGGTGATGGGAGTGGAGACTTCGGGGCGAGAAGCGAGGTTGAGATTCTTGAGAAAGTGTATTAGAACTAATCTGAACAAAATCGACGCCACCGCCCATCTCCAGAAATGCGGCTTCGGCTTCGGCTTCGGCTTCGGCTGTCTAGCTTCCATTTGCACAGAACCGAGACGGATCAGTTTACTAGTCTTCGCTGCCGGGATCAACTACGGCTGAAGGTTCCGCTCAGGGGAAGGTTCCAGAAAGTGAATGGAGTGGGTAGAGAAATAGAATGGACGGATAAGGCTCAAATTGGAATCTCAGTCTAAAATTTTAAATAGATCAAATTGGACATTATGATTACATATTTATATCATATTGGATACCGAAATTTCATTATTTATAATTTTTTGCCATTTACTTATGATTCTCTTCTTCCTTTAATAAAAATCATTAGTCTTACATTTTCTTTCCTTTTTTGTGAAAGTAAACCAATTTTGGAATATTTAATTTAAAGTTTTAGAATATATAATTTGATTTTAATTAATAACTTCTTATACTTAACAATTAAAAAATATTATTAGGACTTTTCAATCATATGATTTTTATGGAACTTTAAGAAATATCGATTTGTTAAATTGATTTAAAAATATTAAAGAATTCAATTACTCCGTACATTATAATAGATTTTCTTAATTGGAGCATCTAATTATATATTCTAAATCTAAATACACAATTTAAGTTATTTTTATTTTTTAGATACATAAAACAAAGAGAAATAGTAATACTTATATCTTTCAAGGTGAAAATATTTGATGGGTATCCGAAAATGATCAGAAAAACGTAAAATTTGATCAATTTGAAACTTTAGTATCCAATATGAGACACAAAAATAATCATAGGGTCCAATTTAGTCCATTTGAAACCTTAATGTCCAATATGATATTCTGATACAACCATGGTGTCCAATTTGACCATTATCCTTATAATGTAAGACACGTGGATAATAATAGTTAGGTCGTCAACACTATAAATATTTCATCAAAACATCATTTAAGTTGTGTCATATGCGACTTCAGAAATAAAATTAATTGATTATAGAATCTACATATTTATTATTGTCATAATCTCATTCAACGTAGAAAACTTCGGTTTTGAGCTCCAAACTTTGTAACCGAATAAGCTTCCATTCTCGGTTGATAAGGCCCAAGTCCCCAACATTTAGATATGCACGACTCACTTCATCTCGTACATCGACAAAATAACCATGAATTTGCTTTCTTTTTCCCGAATCTCTCTCAATTAAAAAAGATGGAGGCAACTCCAAATTTGAGATAGTTTAGATTTCAGGGACTTGAGCTTTTGGAGGAACCTCATTGAGTATATCTTACACAATCGTATCTATAGGTTCAGAACTCCCTTCACCACTTTGACGATTCAATTTCAGAAAGAATGACGAAATCAACTTCTTTCCTTTCTTGGCAATATGTTCATTATCCATTCTAAAAACATTTTCAATATTGGCATGAATTAAAATACTTCTATTAAATTATAAAACTAATAAGAAAAAAACTGTTGTACCTAAAACTAGGGGTGGGCATTTCGGTTTTCAGTTCGGTTTTCTTCAGTTTCGGATCGGTTTCGATTTAATCGGTTTGATAGAAAATGTACCAAATACAAACCGATTAAGTTTCGGTTTGGTTTCGGTTTGGTACGATTCGGTTCGGTTTACCAAAATATTAAGGTTTGGATTGAAATAAAAAAAATAACTCAAAATATTGAACCAAGAAGCGATAATAATGAACCAAATATAATGATAGATATAAATTTGCAAACAGTAACAAAACACATATGAACCAAAAATAAATAAGCATGACACATTTGTAAGCAACAACAACAACGGGAATGAATCAAATTATATATAAAGCTGAAACAAAAACAACACTGGTGCTTGTAAGTAATGAACCAAATATATAGTAGTAATAGATAATAAATTATAGTTAAATACTATCTACTTAAATCACTATAATTGTTATAGTTGTTAATGTAAGTCTTGTAGTCAACTCTAGTCCTGGACACTAAAATTAAAGAATTACAGCTTAAAAAAGATTAACATCAATCAAATTAATGAGAGAAATCTTATATTTTGATTTGGTTTAGTTTGGTGTAAGTTGGTTTTGATTTGTTATTTTAAAAAATTATTTCATTTTTAGGTTAGTTCGGTTTTATTCGGTTTTATGATTTCGATTTGATTTGGTTCGGTTTAATACGGGTTGGGAGGAATACTACAAAACTCAAACTAAATTACAAATGGTTCGGTTTCGGATTGGTTTAATTCGGTTTGGTACGGTTCGATTCGGTCAAACTGAACCGTTATGCCCACCCCTACCTAAAACTAATAAGTATTCCCAATTTCAAAATTCAATTGAAATTTCAATTCTTTATTACATGTCCGCACAATAAATAAATCAATTTCTGATCTTCAATTGTATAATAAATAAGTCATTCTCTAATGTTTAATTTTATATTTAATCATATAAAATTATAATGAATTAAATATTGTTTTTTATCATAAAAGAGTGGTTGTTATATTAAAATCGAGAACACATACAAGATAACCTTTAGACAGACTTTATAGATCCAATCGTGAACCCTAAGACTAGACTTAGGGTTGAAACAGGTTGAATCTATCAGCATTTTTCGAATCTAACGAAGAACTGCTATGCTTTTCTTCTGTCTTTCTTTGATTTCGAGATTAGCCTTTGTAATCTTGTTTGTGAATGGAAATCTATAAAAGTTATACCATTGGAATCGTCATTTCATAATGATCCAGCATCATATCTTCTTTTTCGATTTCTGTAATTTTTCATTCTCGAAGATCTCTATATTGAGATCTCGAAATCCTTGTTTCTCGAGATTACAGAAAGGTTTTTTATTTGAAATTGATACATGAAGAATCTTGACCTTCAGGGCTATTCAGAACAGTTTTCAGATTTTCAAAATTTGAAGTTTTCATTTTGCATGATCTCGACATTTTGAGGATTTCGAAATTTGGGATTTCGAAATTTGGGATCTTGATATTTTGGAATTTTGATATTTGATATTTCGACATTCTCAAAGATTTCGAGATTTTTGGAATTTCTTGATGTTTTGAATCTTTCAAAGTTTGCAGTTTCTTGAAACTCATAATTTTTAGAAACTTGACATTCTTCGCAGTTCATCGAAGCTTTACATTATAGGATTTTGGATGGTTCTCTGTTTTTCATCGTTTTAAAGAAGTTTTCGATGTTGTGATGTTTTTCAAACAACAAGTTTTCGATATTATGAGATTTTCGAAACTTCAAAGTTTTCAATGTTCCAAACCTTTTGAAATTCTGAAGATTTCGATATTCTGAGGTTTGTTTTGCAGGTGGATTCGCCATTATTCTTCGAGGCAAACTCGAGATTAAGATCTCGAAGTTTAAACCTCGAGATTGTAATCTCAAGATTTAAACCTCGAGATTGTAATCTCAAGATTTAAACCTCGAGATTGTAATCTCGAAGTTTAATCCTCGAGATTGTAATCTCAAGATTTAAACCTGAAGATTGTAATCTGAAGATTTAAACCCCGAGATTGTAATCTCGATATTTAAATCTCGAGATTAGGATTTCGAGGTATTGCCTTAGAATTTTCCTTAATCCCACCTGTTCTCGATATTCAACATCGAGAACCTCAACTTAGAAGAAATTCCTCAAAAACTCAAAATTTTGAGATTTTATGCGACACCGCACTGTTTTGGCCATAACTTTTTGACTCGGTGATCTGATTTAAGCGAACTTTTTTTGTTGGAAAGCTAACGAAAAGATTTACATGAATTCTAAGGGTTTACCCCAGAACCCTTTTTCATGCGCCCTCACGCGCAGTCCTTGAGGGTCAAAACTGATAGGTATGTGCCTTTCAGTCCCTCGAGCCGGTCAAACCCGCGACTCTTAACTCGCCTCTTCGGTAGGAATGCCAAAGGAGAGTCCTTGGTACCTTATATGGCCTAGGATCTCCACCACTATCGACGCGTTTTAAATCCGTGAGGGGCAACCCAAAGCGGACAATATCGGTAGTCTGCCTCACGACTGTGAGATCGATCCTTCAAGTTCAAAGGCAAGAAGAACAAGAGCAAGGAAAAGGCGAATGTCCCGAGCGGTCCAATCTTACCAACCAAACACCTAGCTAACACCATTAGTTTAGCCAATCGGGACGATTCTTGACTATGCAGAGGAGCAAGGCCTGGTAACCTTCCTTGAGGAGTGTGGCGTGGTCACCATCAAACGGAACACTGACTGGTACTGTAGATGCCACAGGAAGAGGTGCACAAGTGTTCAAGTCACACCACTCTTGTGGACATGAAGACACCATCGTTGCTAAAGGGGTGCAAACCTTGCAACACGTAGTTGTTAATCGAAGGCCAGGAAGCACCGTTGCTAAAGAGGTACAAACCTTGCAACGTGGGTGATGGAGTATATGGCCCGGGAACCCCCGGGCCACAGACTCCTACTACACCAATAAAGGCCCAACCGGCCCAGGAAGCACAGCAGGCCCCAAATTACGGCGCCCCAAGCACTTAGCAGCCCACAGCGCACACTGGGGAGCCTTCGCCCCCCTGGCCGAAGGCTCAAAACTCTCACAGAACGGGTTTTCAAACAAACTAAGAAACTGGGAAAAAATGGCAGAAAACAATAGCCCTCGGCACCTGGAGCCCTCGGCACCCAGGGGGTCCCCGGCACTCAGAGCCCTCGGCTAGTCCTCTGCAGCTGAGGGCACCTTTCCCGACATGATATCCGCACCACATGCGTACAGATCACCGTACCCTGCACAAACGTCCCATCCAACAGCCGCATTAAATGCGGCCACATGCGTCTGCCAGCGCCAACCAGTTGAAGTGACCTCTAGGCCAATGGACGCTTGACACATGTCCCTGTCCGGCATTTATTGCTACTATAAATAGCACCCCATTTCCCCATTTGTAACCAAGTGATAACACGCTGAAAACGCTCCACACTTCATAATATACTTTCTCTCTCTATATTTACTTGCTCTGACTTCTCTCTTACTACTCCCCGTAATAACCCCTCGGATAAGCTACCCCCGGGTACACTATCCATCATTTGGTGCTCTCGTTGAGAGGTCGAACTATCAAGTAAGAAACCCTCCCCCTCCGCCAAACACTAGCCCTCTACCAAAATGGTGAGAACAACACGTGCCAACTCCAAAAACGTAGAAGACAAGAACCTGGCCCTCGGCGA